TTGTAGATTTGCAATCAATCCTTAGCAAAAATTTTTGATTTAAAAGATTTCCTTGGAATTTTGAAATAGAAAGGACAATAGCAAGAATTTCCTTTTTGATAGTAGAGTAATTCTTTTGACAATCGTTCCAATGTTTGGAGACAAATTGAACAATTTGTTCCTTATTGTCCTTTGATTGTTTAAGAATTCCTCCATAACCAATGTCGGAAGCATTAGTTTCAACAATTTTAAAAGCAGAATGATTAGCAAGATGTAAACAAGGAATTTCCTTGACAGTTTGCTTGATCTGTCTCACAATATCAGTATGAACCTGAGTACATGGTGGAGGATCTTTTTTGAGCCTCTGATTGAGTGGTTTGCAATTATGTTGATACGAGGAAAGAATTCAATAATATAATTCAGACTCCCAAGAAATCTTTGCAATTGATTTTTATCTCTGATTTCATCAGGAAATTTTTCAGAAAATATTATCGAACTTTCAATGGGTATGATGGTTCCTTGATGAATGTAATGTCCTAGAAAACGTATCTTTGTTTTGAAAAGGGATATTTTAGTAGATGAAACTACTAAACCATTCTTTTTCACAATATTGATAAAATGATTGATATGCTTAAAATGTTTTTCTATGGATGTGGAAAATATTAAAACATCATCTATATAAACAATAATATAATCAGAACAAGAATTAAAGATGTCATTCATTATCCTTTGGAATGCGGAAGGGGCATCTTTTAAACCAAAAAGCATGACATTCCATTCATATTGACCAAAAGGAACGGTAAAAGCTGTTTTGTACCTATCCTTTTCATTGATTTGGATATGCCAAAACCCTGATTTCATATCAAATTTTGAAAAGATTTTTGCATCATGAAGCCTATTCAACAAATCCTTCTTATTAGGAATTGGATATTTTATCCATTTTAAAGCTGTATTTAAAGGTTTATAGTTTATTACCAATCTTGGAACTCCTCTTTCTAATTCAGCATTTTTGTTGACATATAAAGCTGAGCAACTCCAAGGGTATTGACTTTTCCTAATAAGCTTCTTCTCAAGAAGTTCTTGTATTTCTTTTTGATAGAAATTTAGAACTTCATGATTCATTTGAGAAGGTCTAGCTTTAGTAGGAATATTCTTTTCTGAAAACCCTAGTTCATAGGGTAAATCAACTATATGGCACTTTCGTGACCAAAAAGCATTAGGAATATTTGAACATATTGAATCTTTGATTTGATTTTCAAGACTGGAAATCTTCTTCTGAAGACTTGTTTCAGAGAGATTTTTGTCTATTTTCTTGTATTCAAGATCTTCCTTAAGAAATTGAAGATGAGTCTCTTTGTCTTGAATGATACAATTTATTTTAGAAATAGAATGTTCTTGAAGAGTATTCAAATTTCTGGTTTGAGGTTTCGAAATGAAATCAAAACATATCTTCTTGCCTAAAGTTTCAGTTTCAATTCCTTTCTCAGAAACTTTAAAAGGCTAAAGTAAATTGATAAAAGGTGAGCCCAAAATAACATTCTGTTTGATGGTTTTAACAAGAAGAAAAGGAGTTTTGAAAGAGATTTGGTCCTTCACCACTTCAGCTTCAGGAATTTTGTAATTTATATTCAACTTATATATATAAAGAGTCAAACATGGACTATGTGGTGCTTGGCTTGGCCCTAAACGACGCCGCACTTTCTCTTGCTCTCAAACACAAACGTGAAAGACTTGGCCCTAGTAGACAGATCTGCGAAATGACCCCCATCTCCCTCTCAATCTCGTTGACTGTTCAAAGTCGCCGGCCGGTTGCCCTTGCTCACTTGCTCGCGTGCCATCTCTCTCTCTCTCTCTCTCTCTCTCTCTCTCTCTCTCTCTCTCTCTCTCTCTCTCTCTCTCATCATCATCCTCTCTCACTCATCCTCTCTCACTCACTTGCTCAATTGGCACCGGAAAAACAACTAAGGCTTTATGGTTGGAAGGAAAAATCAGTTCTCCATACTTGGAGGGAAAAATTAGGGCTCGATTCTTGGAAGGAAAAAATTAGGGCTCGGTACTAGAGTGAGGAATCTCGCAACAAGTAAAAGATGAGTGATTTAATGTGTTTGGTGAGATGCATTGTTGTTTTATGTCCATTAAGTGACAAAGCCAGTCATTGTATATTCAATTTGGTGTGATTGTGGAGACCTCATGTGAAGTTGTGGTCCCAAAACATATATATATTATCTTGAGTGCAACGTTGGTATGGGTAACACCACTGCACCCATCACTGTTTGTCACGGTGGGAAATTTGTTATTGGCAGCAATGAGTGGGAATATGATAGTGGAAATGTCGATTTTGTCCTTGTCAACATAAGTAGGCTGTCGTATGAAGAATTTGTCAAGGATATAGAGGAACAGTTAGGATGCAAAATAGAAAAAAAATTGCATTATGGGGTTCCTAGTAAGAGTTAGAAAGACGATTTGAGATACCTTCGCTACAAAAAAAACAAGAATTTAGCCACGGAAAATTAGCGACGAAAAATTTGCAACGGAATTTGCGACGAAAAAAAAATTCGTCACTAATTTGCCACGAAAAATTATTCGTCGCTAATTTGCGACGAAAAATTTTCCGTGGCTAATTTGCGATGGAATTAGCGACGAAAAATAAATTCGTTGCTAATTTGCGATGAAATTTGCGACGAATGAAGGTGCATACGAAATTTAATTTGGTTGAAATAAATCACAAGAAAATGTATATGAAATATGAACCATTTGTCTTGGCACAACAAGCAATTCAGGTATATTATGCATCATATCCTAGTTTGAAACGTGATAAAGTTGATTGGTAGGCTGTATGTAAAATCAAAGTACAAAGAAAAATCAAGGAACACTGGAATGATACAGCATATCAACAAGAGGAAGTTTGTAATACGGTTGAAACTAAGGAATATAACATTTCAACTTTACGAGATCCATGTGGAGCAATGATAGATGTGGATCGAACTGGAATTCGCGAATCAAATTTAGAAAGTGTTGTAGAATCTGATTTTGAGACAGAGGATGATGATGATGCTCATGAAGAAAATGAAGATCAAGATGAAGACGAAGGTGAAAACGAAGATGAAGATGAAGATTATGATTTTTGAGACTTTTTATTAATTGTGTAATTATTATTATTATTATTATTATTATTCCGACATGTGTTTATTGTTGTTGTTGTCATAATTATTATTGTTGTTGTTGTTATTGTTGATTATTATTATTATTGTTATTATTGTTAATGTAATAGGTCAACGGAAAATTCGTCGCTAAATGGCGACAAGTCAAATACTATTCGTGTGATAACATTTGCGATATTTTATTTTCCATTGGATTTGGATCGTCACTAATTGACAAAATTAGCGACGACATTTGCGACATTTTTATTTGTTGAATTGTTAAAAGGTTGTCGCTAATTGGCGACAAATTGAATTCGCTGGAAAATTTTTTATTTGATGAATTGTTAATACGAAAGGTCGTCGCCGTCGCTAATTCCGTCGCAAATTAGTGACGGATTTGAATCCGTGGCTAATTAGCGACGAAAATAAACTCTTGTGGCATTTTCCCAACTATTTTTATTTTCGTCGCTAAATCCGTGGCTAATTAGCCACGGATTTAGCCACGAATTTAGCCACAGATTTAAGTCCGTGGCTAAATCCATGGCTAATTTGCCACGGACTAAAATCCGTGGCTAATTAGCCACGGATTTAGCCACGAATTTAGCCACAGATTTTAGTCCGTGGCTAAATCCATGGCTAATTAGCCACGGACTAAAATCCATGGCTAATTAACCACGGATTTAGCGACCAAAATAAACTCTTGCTTTACTTTCCCGACTATTTTTATTTTCGTCGCTAAATCCATGGCTAATTAGCGACGGATTAAAATCCATGGCTAATTAGCCACAGATTTAGACATGAATTTAGCCACAGATTTTATTCCGTGGCTAGCGACGAAAATAAACTCTCGCTTCACTTTCTCGACTATTTTTAATTTCGTCGCTAAATCCGTGGCTGGACCAAAATCTGTTACTAAATTCGTGGCTAAATCTGTGGCTAATTAGCCACAGAAATAAACTCTCGCTTCACTTTCCCGACTATTTTTATTTTCGTCGCTAAATCCGTAGCTAATTAGCCACGGATTTAGCGACGAAAATAAATTCTTGCTTCACTTTCCCGACTATTTTTTATTTTCGTGGCTAAATCCGTGGCTCAATAGCCACGGATTAAAATCTGTCGCTAATTAGCCACGGACTAAAATCCGTGGCTAAATTGTTTATGTAAAATGTCGTTGCTAAATCCGTCGCTAATTAGCGACAGAAAATAATTCGTCGTTAATTTCGTTGCAAAATTCATTGCTAATTTCGTCGCAAAATTATACTACAAAAAGTAAATTGAGCCACGAAAAATTAGCGACGAACGTTTTTGTTCATCGCTAATTTTAGCGATGGAAAAAAAAAGTCCGTTACTAATTTGCGACGGACAAAGAAGTCCGTCACAAATTTCGCGTTCCCCGTCCTCACTCCCAATTTGCCCGCCCTCACCCCCCATTCTCTCTCTCTCTCTCTCTCTCTGCTGATTCCTCAGATCCCCCCTGCACTCGCTGTTCTCCCTGCCTCTCCCTCTTTCATTTCTCTCGATCAGATCTACTTTCGCTTCTCCTTCTCCTTCTCCTTCTCCTTCTTTCCTCCCCCACACCCCCAAACCTCTCGCGCTCGCTAGGGTTTTCGGTACCCCTTCTCCCCCGCGACTCCTTGCCATGGCCTCCGGAGCCCTAGAGGCCGCGGAGCCCGAAGGGGCGGCGGCTCCTCCCCCCATCGAGGGCAAGGAGGTGGTGGTGGGCGGCGCGGATCGGAAGCAGAGGATCAACATCAACGACGTGCTCAACAAGCACCTCCTCTAGCGGTCCTCCCCGTCCACGTCCCGCGTCGTCAACGGCAAGGACAAGTCCTCCGATCACCGCGATTCGGCTCGCTTCAAGGCCAACTCCGATGGTCCGTCCGTCCGTCCCTCTCTCTCTCTCTCTCTCTCTCTCTCTCTCGTCGAATTTGATGATGTGTCGTGTGAGTTCCCTTCTCGTGCGCGTCGTTTCGGGTTCAGTCTAATTCTCGAAAGGAAATAAGAGGGATTCCGTTTGTTATCAGCGCTTTCGTGCCTGTGCTTGTTTAGAAGTGGAGATTGATTTAGCACGGGGCCGTACCCCCCATCAATATGTATATCTGTCTGCATAAGTTTGGATTTTGCTCGGGGATTTCGACGATTCGAGTGTTTCAGCTCTTGATGTATCGAGCATGTTTTTTTTATTAGTTTAGGGGAAGGGTTAAGTGTGTCCCCTGTCGAACTCTTGGTATTAGGCCGGAGCTTTTGATACTTGAGTTGCTGAAACGAAGTGTGATTTTCAGGTATCAACTATCTACTACGGAATTTATTATAGTGTTAGCACGGAGAGAGCATGTAATGGATTCTTTTGTGTATATTTACTTGCTGCCTCGTTTTAAGATGATCTCTCTATCTCTTGCTTTGAAGCAATTATTCCTAAGAGCTTGTGGTGGAGCCTGTGGATTTGAAGAAGTGCAGTAAAGTGGAGGTGATAGTGGAGTGGTGAAAGAGACACACGGGTTGTTTTTGTAGTCTCCAATCTCCATATGAAAGTCCAATTTCTTAAGATAAGATGCTGATGCTCTGGTGCTTATGCTTTAAGCGGCCAATGTTCCTCCTAGTTTGCTGTTTACATTTGCCTTGTGTTTTGAGTCTTAACACCTGAATTTATATGAATCCACATTGTGTAGATTTTTGGCCAGTTCTTGTTATTTGAAGGCTTTATTGAAATCCACACTCCGAAACTGATAGCTGGATCCAGTGAAGGAGGTTCTGCTGTGTTTAAACTGGACTATAAAGGGTGCCCTGCATGCCTGGTGTAGTCACCTCAGCTTCATAAGCAAATGGCCATTTGTGGTGACTTTGGGTGTGTTTTTGATATTGGTCCTATTTTTAGGGCAGAAGACTCCTTCACACATAGGCATTTGTGTGAATTTACTGGCCTTGATGTTGAAATGGAGATTAAGAAGCACTATTGTGAGGTTGGATTGGATACTTTTTCATTTAATTGAATTTTCAGTTTAGCTTAACGAACTAAATGTTTATGTGCAGGTAATGGACATTGTGGACAAGTTGTTCGTTACAATGTTCGACTCATTGAATGCGAGTTGCAAGAAAGAACTTGAAGCTATTGGAAGACAATACCCCTTTGAACCTTTAAAGGTTATAATATTTTTCTTTTTCTTTTTTTTGCAATCTGATTACATAAATAGTGCAACTCATGGGCAGTAACGTTTAATTGCAGTACTTGAGAAAAACCTTGTGGCTTACTTTTCAGGAAGATGTTCAAATGTTCAAGGTGAGGAAAAAAATTTCGGCAGCTAAATAGCTGCCCATAAAAAAAAGGGAACAAATAGAGTAGCAACATATCGGTTCATTGGCACTTCTATATCATGGCTGTAAAAGTAGGACAATGAGTTCTCTTGCTGATTTTTTGTTTGTTGCTTTTAAATGAAACTGATTGTTTGTGGTAGCACTCCTCTTACCTGATGATTTGTTCTGTTGGAAGAGGAACCACAAGAAAGTGATATTTACAACTATATGCCGTGCACGTGTACATTGGGGGCTGATTTGTTCTTGGCTTTCGTTGCTTTAGCTTGATTTTGTTGTTTGATCTGATTCAGGGCTGATTTTGTTGGTTGTTTTGATATTCGCGAAAATGGAGGATCTCGTGGCTTTGTTTGAGCCCATTGCGTTGTCTCCGTCGGAGTCTTCGATAATATTGCTACTCCTAGTTTTCTCATGTTTGCTTTAAGCTGGTTTGCTTTTGTTGTCTCTGTTTTTTCTCTCTTTTGACTGTTCTCCTTTCGGCTCTACTATAGCTCATAGCATCTGAATATATTTTACTCGTATTCTTGCAATGCAAAGGAAAAGAGGCAATAGATTCTAAGAAGCAAGTGTGATTTGGTATGTTAACCTATATTGGTATATTGTATTGGGATACATAGCTTAGCTAGGTCATAGCTGATGTGATTGTTTCCATCTTTTTCCTCTCCTTGCTTTTAGTCGTGGGGCTTGGGTTTTTGACGATGGGAATGAATGGGGCAATCAAGAGTCCAAAACCCCTCTTTTGTCTTCTGGTCTTGGGGGTTGCACTAGATGTTATTTGCTTTTTTAGAAAATACCCTGTGGGAGAATTATGGCTTCATTCAAAATGATTGATTATTTGAATAGAGTGATACCTGCTTAGATCATGCATTTGTGGAAAGTCATGTGTATTGTTCTTTGCACGTTGCAGGTGCTGGAAGCACTCCACTTCATGATGCTGCTTGTGGTGGAAGTGTGCAGTGTTGTCAGGTATTTTGTGATAGCTAAAAGATAAATAGCATCCAATATCATTCTTTATTTTGTTCGTGTCACTTACATAAATGTTTTTTTTGCGGTGGAAGTGTGCAGTTGTGGACAGTGAACCAATTTGGAACACCTACGTTGCACCTTTGTTTCTTTACTTCTATTAGATTTATCACTGAAAGTGAACTTCAACCTTTTTCCTCTATATTTCATTTACCTTCGTTGCTTTACTTAATTAAGATTGCTTGCTTCACAGTCATTTTGTATCCTTTAGAAGCTGAATATATTAACATTTAATGTGGAAACAATGTCACTAATTTTGTGTCTAATTCCAGACAATTTATGTTTTGTAGAAGAACAGCTTTGAGCAATTCTGCATAAGTTATGCAAATGAGAGGTTGCAACAACATTTCAACCGGCATTTGTTAAAACTGGAGCAGGAAGTGAGCATCTCACATGGACCGTGTCTTTAGTTTTGTTCAGTATTTATATGATGGGGATTGTCGCTAAAAGCAGGATATTCTTTTTTGATTCATTTCTATCGTCATTATTTGTTGTGCAAGATTAGTTATTGTGCAAGATTATTTATTCTCTCATTATGTGTACTATAAAGAAAAATATTTATGTCATTCTTGTGGAAAATGTAGATGAATGTATTTAATTTTCATATTATTATAATATTTTGATGTTATTAAGTGCTTAATCAATGTTAAATATAAATTCCAAAAATTAATTTTGCTTTTAATTAGGTTTAAAATCAAAAAATAAAATAAATGATTTTATCGTACGATCACAAATTATAAAAGTTCGTTGCAAAAATAAAATTTTGTCGCTAATTTCGTCCCTAAACGATATTCGTCGCAGAGTTCGTCGCTAAAGAATTAATAAAAAATCGTCGTTAAATTCATTCATGAATAATGTTCATGGCAAAAGAAAAAAAATTTGGTAGCAAATTAGCGATAAATTTTGCCACGAATAAGTTCATTGCAAATTACTGACAAAAAAAAAAAATTTCTTGGCAAATTAATGACGAATTTTGCCACAAATACATTTCGTGGTAAATTAGCGACAGAATCTTGTCATGAATAATTAGCGACGAATATAGTTCGTGGCAAATTAGCGACGAATTTTGCCACGAATAATGAGCGACGAATTTTGCTATGAATAATTAGCGACGAATTTTGCGACGAATAAAGTTCGTGGCAAATTAGCGACGAATTTTTTTTCGTCGCAAATTAGCGACAAAAATTGAAATTTTTCGTCGCAAAATTTTGCGACGGCGTATTAGCGATGAATTTTTTTCCGTCGCAAATTCATTTAGCGATGAATTTTGCGAAATTTTTCGTGGCAAAATTTGTCGCTAAAACCTAATTCTTTTGTAGTGCTTCATGATGGTAATGGTATTAGGGATCTTATTTACCATTATCTCTATGGTGAGGAAGTTTATGTGTATGTTGAGTATAACGGTGATGATTAAGATGAGAGCACTCATGTAGGGGAAGTAGGATATGGTATTGACTAGAGTACTCAGCCTAGGGATGGATTTGTTTTAGAGGAAGGAGCACAAGAGAGGGAGGCCATCCATATAGCTCATGTATTAGAGAAAGTCAGCAAATGGGGACGTGTCTCAGAGTCTCTGGTGAAGACATAAGTGATGAAAAATTGACTGGAGTAGATTGAGAAGTTGCTTTATCTAATGAATTAAATGATGGACCTTTGCCAAATGCAAATTGCCCAAGTGATGATGATGATGCAGAACTTGCACAATCAAGGCAAAACTAGAGGAAATTTCATAAAAAATAATTTGCAACACTTGGGGAATCGCATGAACCTCAACCTGTTAAAAAAGATTAAAGAGCTCCAGCGACCGAAGATAATGAGATTGAATATGAACAAAGCGGTGGTGATGATGAAAGTATAGTTCCGAGAATGAGAACAAAGATGATGAAGTAGCTGTTCATAGAAGGAAAAGTAAGTATCCTTCTTATGATCTGACTATTGCATGTCATTTGTTGTGCATATCTTTGAAATTTAATGATGCAAAACAATTCAAAGAAGCTATTTTAGAAGTACTCAATTACTCAACGGAGGAATGTTAAATTCATAAAAAATACCAAGGAATATGTGAGAGTAAAATGTTCATGACAAAATTGTCCATGGAAGATATATGTCGCACTGAGTAAGAAGAACGACTCATTCCAAATAAAATCCTTCCATGAGGAACATACTTGTGCCATTGTATTTGACAATAAAAAGATGTGTGGTTGGCCAAGCACTTGTTAAACACTATCAACACCGTGCCAAAGATCAAGAGTTTTCAAATAAAACAATTAGTGAATGAGCAAGTAGGGGTTAATGTGTCTAAAAATCAATGCAAAAGAGCCAAGCAAAGATGATAAGTACACTGATGTGTAGGTACAAGGAAAAATATGCACAGATCCGAGATTATGCTTGGGAATGTAGGCTTTAGAACCCATCCAGTAGAATAAATGTAGAGGTTCTGGGAAGGCCACTGCTTAACTGTAGGGCTGAGTTTGATAGGATGTATATTTGCTTTGATGCATGTAGAAGAGGCTTCTTACCTGTCTGTAGAAGAATGATAGGGTTGGATGGATGTTTTTAAGAGTTTATGCAAATGATTTTGTTGCCATTAGGAGAGATGCAAATAACGAAATATTTCTAAGAACCTAGACAGTTGTGAAGTATAGAATAAAGACACTTGGTCCTGATTTCCTAAAAATATTATAGTTGACCTTGAGATAATTGATTAAGGAGGTTGGACATTCATGAGCGACCAATAATAGGTAATGTCATTGTCAACTGTTGTCTTTTTAATATTAATAATATATCATTGCTTACAAGTATTCATTGGTTTGAATTATTGTAGGGACTTGTTGCTGCATTACTGAGCTAATACCATATGCTAAGTATAGAATGTATGCGATGCACATGTATGCAAACTGCATAAGCAATTTTGGCTCAATGCAAGGAGATAAACTGCATAAGTAAGGAGCAACGACATGGATAAACTGCATAAGAAATTTTGGCTCAATGCAAGGAGCAACAACATGGCAGATTTCAGAATTCACAAACAAGGGTTGTTTGAGTTAACAAAGGAAGGTTTTGAATTACTATTCCATAATGAACCTAAGCATTGATATAGAGTCTTCTTCAATGAAGAATTCAAGTGTGATATCATTGACAATAATCTCAATGAAGCATTCAATGGCATAATAGTAGAGGCTGGATGCAAATGAATATGCAACGTGCTTGAAGATCTATGAGTGATTGTCATGACTAGGCTACAAAGATAGAGAGATGAGGTTACAAAGTGGACTAGACACTGTGGTCTTAGGATTGCAAAGAGATTGAATGACAACATGACTGCTAGTAGGTTTTGTCATCTAAGTTGGATTGGGCGCGATACTGATGAGAATGAACAATGCTGATAAGTATGTTGTCCACCTAAAAAGGAGAAAGCGTTCATGTCGAGCCTAACAAGTAATTGGAATTTCCTGTACATATTTGTGCCACACAGCTAAAGCAACAAAATCCTGAAAATTACCTAGAAGATTGGTATAAGAGAAGCACATATCTTGCTTTGTACAAATTTATGTTGCGGCATGTTAGAAGTAGCAAATTTTGGGACCCAATAAATCATGAAACCCTTCACCTTTTGCCACCAAAGAAGCAAGTAGGCAAGCCAAAAAAAGGAAAAGGTAAATGCAGGAGTTTGAGTTCATAAGTAAGAGGATAAGCAGGTCTGGTGGAAAATTAAATGGTCATATTGCCATAAAGAAGGGCATAATAAGATTGATTGTGAATTGAAGAAGTAATAGCAGCAACAATAGATAACGGAAAGCAATGATACAAGGCCAACTGCAAGTCCATCTCGAAGACCAACTAAAGGCGCAACTCTATGGCAGCTATAGGGCCTGATGCAAGGTTAGTTGTAGGGCATGATGTAAGGTTAGTTGAAAGGTGAGCTGTAGGGCCATCTACGAAGCCAAATGTAGGGCAGGTCCAAGGCCAGCCGCTGAGTCGGATGTTACACAGACAATGAGAAAATGTCGAGTAAGTTATATAATTTGTGTTAATGTTGTTGTATGTCCATATGTTGGCAAAATTTAAGTTTGTTTTTTTCTTTTTTAGGTTAGAAGAAGACCACCAGAATAGGTTTCTAAAAGTTTGGCACCACAACGAACAAGAGGGGCTATTGACAAAAGGATAAGGCAATATGGTTATGAGCTATTTACAGACTTTACTACTAGTATGACCATTTTGTATGTAGTTTTTGTAGGTCTTGTGCATTTAATTTATGGTATTTGATTTTTTTGACAATATGGTTATGTTGTTGTAGTCTATAAGAAGTTTAGAGGTGTTGATCTCTCAAGGTGACCCAAGTAAAAATCAAGGGTTGCACCCATAAGAAGTACCTAAGGACAATAACAAACAAACCAACCAAAGGTAAGTGAAGCATAATCCAGTAAGAAGCAATCAAATGCTGCTCCAAAACAGATGACACAAGGGGTAACTCCAAAGACACAAGACTCCTAAGAAGATAACATAGGGTCGTGCTCCCAAATAGCCACCAACAATGACCCCACACACCACTATGACGTGGCCAATATCAATTACATAGAGCTCCCCTCAAATGACCTTTCAGTCTCGATCTTCTAGAAAGAGAATGGTTACTACAAAAAAGAAGATATATGGGAAAGAAAGACCAATTCAATAACCTGTAATTCTAGTTCTAGATAAAAATAGTGCAAGGATTATGAATTAAATCAAAAGTCCATCAAAAGGAAAAGGAACCGAGGGGAGGGGGGTCATTGAGATTGACTAATAGGAGGGTGCTAATATGGTTTTGTTGTTGGAGGTGCTGCACATGGTTTTGGTTGGTGGGAGGGGCTATTCAGATTGACTGATGGGGGTTATTATGTTTATGTCTTGCTTTACCCTAGTATTGCATATGGCGTTGTCTAGATTTTGGTTGATTTTGGGATGTTTTTGTTATATTCAAATTGACTTAATGTAAAGAAGCACTTGAATATAGGTAACAATACTTTTGTTTATGCCTTTGGCAACTCCAAGTTTTGTCTTGCTTTTGGCTAGTGCCACATATAGTTGTTATGTTTTGTCTAGATTTTGACTGGTTTTGTGCTCAACCTGGCACAAGCATAAGATTGCACCAGCACTTGTTTATACCGTTAGTGCAAGCACTAATACTATAACAGCAACCTAGTGAAGTTTTGTGCTGCACCAACACTTGTTTGTGAAGTTGATGCAAGCACAAGACTACACTAGACTCGTTGAAATTTGTCCTTGCTGGTGCAGTCTTGCTTTTTATGTGTTTTGAAAATTGTAAGCAATGGGTGTTGTCAAGCAAGTGGTCCTCATGTGTCTTTGTAAGCTTGTAATGGAAGTGTTTCAGAAAGAGAAATCAACATATCACTTCTTAAAAAGTGAAAATCACAAGCAATCCCTTTTGAACAACAATCGACACTCAAGTGATCATTGTTAACAAAAATTGGCACTATGATCACTTTTAACAAAGTTTAACACTCAAAATGATCACTCGTGAACTTGACCATTCATTGTAGTAGAAAATAGTAGCAAAGCAACATTT